ACTATAGTCTCTAAAACAAGACAACATTTCTTTCCTGATAAATCTTGCCATTACATTAGTGGGAGGTAGGTGGGTAAGAGTACCAAGATTATTCTAATAAATCATGAGTATGTTTGTACAAATAAAAGACTGGTATGCTTCCATGCTACTGACTGAAAACTGTGGACTAAGTGGAAATGGAATAACCACTAATTCAGATTTGACTTGCCTATCTTAGCTTATCATCGGCTTAGGTAAACATTAGTCATCCAGAAAATTTGGGTAAAACTATTATATTTTTAAGCCAAAATGATTTTTCCCCCCCACAAATTAGTTCATTAAAACAGCAAAACTATTTATTCCTTTTAAGACACAAACTTTCATGACATAATTAATGTTTTCTGTAGCTCAGACTGAGATGAAAAATTGTTTCAGTCTGGAGAGTCCTTGTTCTACAAATACACGTCAGTCTCTCAGTGTTGTTAGACATTACAAAAATAAAACAGAAAAGATATGTTTTGAGTAGAAGCAAGGGAAACAAAAGATAAAACAACCTTATTATCACATCAGTTCAATTTGTAGCAAAGGTATGTGTTGAGTCTCTCTAAAATCTCCCTTTATTGCCTGCTATTCACCTTGGATATTTTCTACAGGATAGTTATAATTTAAAAAGCCCCTTCAGGGCTCTTGTGCTTCTGAAAAGGATGTGTAAAAGAGTATGTCTCTGAAAATAAATATCTGCAACCAGCATCCTATCTTAGACTACGTGTCAATATGCGCTCACTTGGTATTCAGAGACTGCATCTAATTTAGACCTGAAGGCGACACAGGTGAGTAATATTTGCAGCAACAAAACAGTATTCAAGCTACAGAGGAACCAATTTATTAGTTAAAAAGGACATCAGCTGGAGAACTACAGCATCCCTTGTTTTCTGGGTACTATAATCTTTCCTTTTCTTAAGGATTCAAGAATGAAATTCCATGCGTCTTCCATGTAGAAGAACAAAAGTACAAGTCTTACACCATCTAACTTGTTTTGATAAAAAGACACCTGTGAGATGGCCTGGCTTATATGCACAAATGAAAAAAAATTCTCAAGTTAAAGGAATTGTCCCGGTATAAAAATGTGCATGAAAACAGACAAAAAATGGGTGTTATAATTAAGGTATTACAAAATAAGAGACTATGAACTATTAACTAAGAATAATCAAAGGGACATTATGATTTAGAAGTTGATATAACTATTCCAGAATTTCAGACAGAAGCTGCTATGTATATCTTTATTTTAAAATCTTTATTTATGATTGGGTGAGGGGATGGAGTGTACTCTCAGCAAGTTTGCAGATGACACCAAGATGGGTGGAAGGCACTTCAGAGGGATCTGGACAGACTGGATCAATGGGCTAAAGCCATTGATGTTCAACAAGATCAAGTGTTGGGTCCTGCACTTGGGTCACAAGAAGTCCATGCAGAGCTACAGAGTGCGGAAACAATATCTGGAAATCTGCCTGGAGGAAAAGAGCCTGGCAGTGCTGGTTAACAGCAGTGGAACATGAGCTGGAATGGGCCCAGGTGGCCAAAGAAAGCCAATGGCATCCTGGCCAGTATCAGAAACTGTGGACAGCAGGACCAGGGCAGTGATCATCCTGTTGCACTCGGCATTGGTGAGGCTACACCTCCAAATCTGTATTCAGGCTTGGGCTCCTCACTACGAGAAAGGTTACACCTCATTTCCTCACCCCACAGCTGCAATGAGAGACTTGCATTCATTTTTTGGCAAGCAGGTGTCTAATCCTTCTCTCACCAGAGAAGGATGAAATCACCCCTGGTAGAGTTCACAGACAGACTCACTATTTACTCAGAATGATTTCTATTCACCCTGTCTCTTTGTCTTATTTGGAAAGGAAGTGGATATGCACACGGGTGTGCTAAAATGGGTGAAAACTTTTGAGAAGAGTTAATAATGTGGATGTGTTCTCACAACAAAAAACATAACTTGCAGTTTTGTCCTAGAACAACTTCAATATTTTCTCAGCTCCAGCCTGAAGCAATTTACAAAATAATCATTGTGAAGCAGACTCCTGTGCCCTATACTGACCTGCCTCTGTCCTGTGGGCAGGAAAACATGTTATTGCCATGAAAACATGATATTACTTCAAGAAACTACATTGAACTTCACAGTAATAGCAATAAATTTCCCAAGCATATTTTTTGTCTTCCTTTATAAACTTCTACCCTACAACTTTTTAGAGTGTGTTGCACTTTATGAAACAGGAAGATTGGAAATAATTACACAGCTTGTGAAATCCTCTTCCATCAAGTTGCAGTATCCATGGCACCACCATTACATATCACTGACCACTACACACATTAGTAGGAGCTTTAAAGTTGATGGATGAGACTAACAGGCCAATAATAACGACCCACAGGAAGCTGGCAAGACTGAATGTTTTAGATTTGTACATCAAATTTGAGTAATTTGCTAAACAAAATTCTTTGTTATATACCTACTGAGACTAATCTTTTGTGGCTCCACCTCAGAGGAAACATTTAGACAGGATACGCAGTCAACTGTGTGGCATTCTAAAAAGCTATAAGAATTCACAGGTTCAATTTTGAATACATACATACATAGATAGAAACATGTGAATGGTTTCTGACTGACGGATAAAGCTGCATCATTTTGAATGACATTAGTCCATAAAAGGCAGGAGCCCATGTAAACGGTTCAGTTGACTATACCACAAAACAGCCAATGTACATTATTAACAAAATATGAATGAAGTTATGCTTTCTTTTGTGAAGTACTGAGTACTAGAGTATCTGGCATATACTGTGGAATCATCATTTTCATATGTTCCTTTGTTTAAATAGCTTTCCTTATATGGTTATCATCCAGCCCTCATATTACTAATTTATTCTAATTAAATTTAACAGAATATTCAGCTATGTTAAACAAGTTTATTTGTCTGTCTGTAACAGTATTTTCTTGTCCCTTTCCATAACTTGACTGTTGACATAAATTTGTTAGTTCTATTTATTTCAGAATGCAAAGCTCTCAGGACAGAGAAAAAAGTAATTTTCATTAAGAAGTTTCACAATAATGCACTATTAGTGTCTATGATGTTCTGGGTAAAAGTCCCAAGTAAATTTTTTCAGTCATCTACTCATTATTGTGTGGTGACTGTTATTGTCTGCTGCCAATTAAAATAATTCATAGAAATAATTGCTTCAACAAGAAGTACCACTTTTACAAATTCATTATTTTTTGTCAAACCATACTGATAGCTACTGCATTTCACATATAAAAAAGAGCAAATAGGAAGAGAAAAAAAATCTCACCTTGCATATTCTTTATATTCCTTGATATATTAGGAACTGAGGCGTGAATATGCCATCAGAAGAATGTGCAGAAAAATCAAAGTATTTTAAGATTAAACAGTTGAAACTTAATATTGAATAAACAATTTATGCTATAATTAAAATATTAAAAATATTCAAGTAATTATTGGTCACTTAATTTTCTTTGTGAAAAATTCATTTCCCTGCTACAGAAAGCACAAAAGTACACAGAATAGTGCGAGGGCATTTCCTTGTACAAAATGCTTGTCATATTACAGATGCCACAAGAAATACTTAAAGAGTCTAGCAACAGTAATCATAGTAATAACAGATCTATTGCCTTAGGAAAACACAGTTTAAAAAATCTGGTCAGACCAGTGTGCAAGAAGCTGTAAGTAATGCATTGATGGCATTACATGGCCTATTGCTTGGAGAACACCGCTTGAGGAAAAGTCTTCTAATAATACCATCCCACAGACTGACTTTGCTGCCTTGCTTTTATCACTTGAGTTATTTTATTTCACTCATCTATATGACTTTTCCTAATGAAGTTTGAAAGCAATCTCCCCTTGAATACAATTGAAATTATTTAATCCATTTTTCTCTTGAACCCAAAATGTAGGAGTTATAAAACTTAAAATTACCTTTCAACAACTCTGATAAAAGAACAACCCATCTAACACAAATACTTCAGTATCTACAAACAATCATAAAAATAGATTTCCACAGCCTGCAACACTGAAAATGAAGCCATATCCATTCTTTATGGCTTGTTACAGCCAAAACACTGGCTACACTTCACCTTTTCCTGACGTAGCCATTATACACTTGGGGTTGGATATGAGCAATACTGTTCAGAGGTGTAGTGAAAGACTTATGAATCTTACCAAACATCTTGCTGTACTGCCCATTATTACTGTATACATATGACAGTAAGTCTAATAATGGACTCCAGAGCTTATCATTGACAGCCTACATAGGTAATTAAAAATAGCTTCCAGACATAAAAGTTGCTTTATGTAACAATTAGATTTTACTTAAGCATTCATGAAAAAGCACTAGAAGAGAAAAATATTTTTTTCTTTTATTTGGGATTTAGATGAACAATGTTTACAGTATTATGTGGGAAAAATGCAAACTTAGTTTTTAATAATAAACTTCTCTAAATAACACTGTTACAGTTTGATTTGGCATGATTTCAAGGACAAATAAAAACTGTTCTTTTGCTTCTGTATAACATGTGACACATCATTGGGATGGGTATCATTTTAGATATCTATTAGATGAGCCCTGTTATACTACACTAAATTTACTAAAGTAGAGTCTATGAAAAAATATTCATTTTTCTTCACAAGAGTAATCATTTTCACTACAGTGGAATTACAAATACGTATAAAGTTTTCAGAAGTGATCTGTTAAATAAATAAGCAGTTTACCGGGGTAAATATTTTGTAATGCCTAGGTAACATACATACGTTAAACGTTCCGTCAGTTCCAAAATCCTGGAAATATAACACACCATTCGTTAAACATTCCGTCAGTTCCAAAATCCTGGAAATATGCTGAGATGGAACATCGGCAAAACAAACTCACTAGTCCTATAGGCACCAGAGGCAGATGATAGTTCAAACAGAAAGGAAAGAGAAGGCAGTATTTTAATGGTATTAACAAATCCTTACCTAATGGCTGCCCTGCAATGATCCTGGCATTCTCTCCTGCCACCGCGGCCCTCGCGTGCCTCTCGCTCATGTACTGTACGAAGGCATAGCCTTTGTGCACCGAGCAGCCCACGATCTTCCCGTACTTCGCAAAGATTGCTTCGATGTCACCTTTTTTGACAATAGCTGTGTTCAGATTACCGATGAAGACTCTGGAGTTGATGGACTTTGGGTCGTTCTTATTGGTGACATTGCTGGTCTGTGTTTTGCCAGTCATGGTTGGATCACTTGGCTTTAAATCTTAAATAAAGAACAAAGAGAATTATGTTTCTAAGCATACAGTTACCCTGACTTGTGACGATTTTTTCCAGCAATAGTTCACTTTTAATTTTTCACTTTGGTTGAATCTCAAGATTCAAAGAAGAATCAAAGAAGATTCAAAGAAGAATCAAAATATCAATAAAATCAACATAGCACTTTTTAAAATACTGGTCAAAAGTAAAATTTAAACTTCTTATTTTTATAGATGTGGAATATACCAATACATCACTTAATATAATGCTGTGATAGCAGAGCTTTACTGTAATCATATGTGGATTTCTGCTTAGAAATTCAATATTGACTTTTTAAGCACTTAACCATCTAGAAACTGCAAAGCAAGGGAATGAATCATTATCTACTGTCAAAGAAACGAACATTCAAGGCCATGTAGAGAGCAAACTCTTAAAATGAAAAACAACTCTGCTTTTGTTTGGTGTCAGTTAGAGCACATTTCTCACCAGTTAAATATCGCTGTGAGGTGTGCAAGGCAGGTAACATGCAATTCTTTACTGCAATCAATATGTTTCTATCAGAACAATTTTCCCTGTAAATTCAGTACAAAAAAAGAAGTGAGAAAAGACAGCGGCTTATGTTCTGAGAATTAAAAAGTAGAAAAATAAACCACTTTAACTCTAGGAACACAGACTTTCTTGCTTCTTTGCTCTTTTATCTGAGGTCACAAGTAGAAATGCATCCTGGTAAATCTCTGATGGGAATAACCACATTATTTCTGGTAAAGATCTGATAAAAGAAGAGGAAAAACCCCAACACATCTTGTGTTCATCTAGCCTCACTCCTCTGAAGTGCATGTGATTTTCATAATTTGTATGCAAATTCCACCTGCTAGCGAGTGTCTATATTTACATTAATTTACTTAGATGGGAATGAAATAAAAGAATTGTCCCACATCTGCACTGGGTTATCTTTAGCTTTAGTGGACCACAGAGATGTCAAAAATATGCATAGCTTTAAGTAGAGAAAACTTATTTTGTAAGCAAAAGGTCATTTAGGTAGCAGTCAAATATAGGCCATGTCTTACAGCCGAGAACTTTGTTACTATTTTTTAACCTGTTCATACTTTTGATTAGATCAGAGTAACAGCTCAGGCAAGAAAAGGATCCAGTTATATACTTTTCACAGTTAAAACTCAGTTCATTCCTCAGAATGAAAAGGTATAATAACTTCTATTCCAACATCTAAATTGGAAGTTTTTTATTTTAAATCAGTAGCTACCATACATGAAGGTCGAAAAAGGAACCATCATCACTGAACTCTGCAGAATACCTGCTGAACAAAACAGCCACAGTCGCAACCATCAGCACTTTGACTGACTCCATCCCTGAGGATCCAAACCCCGATCTTCCAGCCAAGAACATACAACAGAAATGTATAGGCAGTCCTCCTAAGTCTCAGCAAACAGCCTGTTTTATTAAATGAATATATGCAGCAGAGCTGCCAGTCAAATAGCTTTCACTTGATTAACAACTCAGAATGGCAACTTTATGTTACAGCATTTAGAGAAAGCACTGAAGAAAATAAGAGAAAAGGTGTTTTCCTCTAAGTTTATGTATTTTTAAATACATTGTGGAAACATAATGTAGTGTACACATGCACACATCCTGGAAAGCCAGGAAAACTGCCTTCAACACAAACCTCTGACCTTTAGCATGACAAATTCAATACTGTATATTTCTAGATTGCTGTGCAGATTGTGCATGTTTGAAGTCATGTCTGTATATAGCTAACCTGAATATTGTGAACATTAAAAGTAGTACAGCTTAGTACTGTAATATTATCAAGACAAACTATTTACAAAATGTAAATATAATGCACACTAAGATCCATTTTGGCATAAAGTACGCTGCTGATGTTTTCTAAGACCCAAGAATTTTAACTCTATCTTAGATACACCTGTACTGCACAGGAGTCAAAATGACAATAACACAGCCATGTTAGCTTAAAGAGCTCTACTGACCCAAACCAAAGTAGTATGGCAGAGTAACAAGGTATAAAAATAATAAGGTTTGTGGAGTTGCTTATGAGCAGGGAATAACTAGTGTCCCCTGTGCTGCTGAGTTGCACAACACTTCAAATACCACTCTATTGGGAAAACTTACCATGGAGAGTATTGTGTTAATCTTTGTGAAGATCCAGGGGAAAAAAAGGCTGTATCTGTTCTTATACAATTCTTAGCATCTTCTTGATACTATATACATTTATTGAGCATGTAGCTGAAATTATTTGACTAAACACATAGAGGTAGTTTATCACAAGTATGACTGGCTTAGAAAGCAGTAGCCTGGACAGGTACACCTGGCTCTTTCACTAAACTTCTTCATGACTCTTCAGCAAGATGCTTTTAGTGCCTCTGTTTCCACTTTTTAATCTTCAGACCAGCATTTTTTTTGACTAAGTGCTATGTCTCAGTGGTTTTTTTACATAACTTCTAACACAACAATATGACCTCAGTTGGAATGTTTAAGCATGACCAACAGACCATTAAAAAAATCCAGGGAGAAAAAAATCTACAGAAAATCTGCCAGAAGTCAAGATTCCCATGAAAATTATATGCAATGAAACACTTGATTTATTACCACCAATGTTTTCTATGACACACATTACCACCACAACGTTTTCTAAACACTCTACTACACTGCATTTCCTCTGTTGTTTAGCTATTTAACAAGGGATTTGGTGAACCATTGTTATTTCATAAAAATCCTCATTTTTGCCCAGTTTCTCTACATACTAATTTAAATAGACTTTGAATAGGACATTGAATATTTCTCCGTTGTAGTTCTTTGCAATGCAAATTTACAATATTTTTATAACACAAAGAAAAGTAGTTGTCTGGTGGGTTCTCTCATATTCAAATGAGCAGTCAGGAAAACGTGCAGCAGAAATTCAAAGAGTGAGAATAATACTAACATGAATGATTGAGATTTGATTGCCTTGCTGATCACAATACAACTGTGAATATTTCATAAAAATCAAAGATCCGTGGGATCTTCATTACAATGTGAAAGACTTTATGGCAACTTCTACACCTCACTTTCAATATATATTTGTGAATACTGAATTATATTCTCTGAGCTATCAGTAAAATCACAAACATTGTACCTCATACAAATGCAGAAATAAATGAAACAGTGAGAGAAACATATCTGAAATAATCTAATTTCCTTGCAGCCTTTAATAAGGTATCTTGCTAATTTCCTATTACTGAAGTGATCCTTTCTGGTAATAAATACCTCCTATATGCCAAGCATATCTTTTAAACAATGCTTTACAAATAACATTTAGTTGTCAGTGCACTTCATATTTATTTATTCAATGTAATTCATTAATTACATGCAGCATTGTCCTATGTAGTAGCTGGTTTAATTATTCTACCAAGTAACTAATTTGCCTTGCTATAGTTAAAAAAAAGTTCTAAATTAGGCCATTTATTTTAATACATAGATCTCTAAAATTCTTTCTTAAACATCAACATTTCTAATATGTCAAACTGGAATGAAAATGCAAGTTACTAAAAATGAGATTCCTATCATCCAGGATGTACAAGTGAAAAGTTTAAACCAGGCAAAATGAAGTGCAAAAGAGGGGAGTAGAATTTAAGTCTTGGCTTCCTTCACTTTTCCGGCATTTTCTGACAAAGTTTGGCTGAGCACCAGCAGGACAATGCGTTGCTTTGTAGCTGTGAAACTCATCATCTTTCCATAAGATGCAAATGTGAAGGCACAGCTCCACGTCACAGCTGTTTCCCCTCTGGGGCTGTGCCTGGCACCAAATGGAGACAACAATCCCTTTCCAGTTGTGCCATGGCCCAGTGCAGGGAAAACACAGAACTAGAAGCAGACAGAAAGGGAACAACTTGTCAAACTCTACATTCCAATAACTCCCAAGCTTTTCTTTTACGGAGCAGTTGTCAAGGCACGATCATAAAAGTCCTGTTAAACTTCTGCTCCCTGCGCTGCTTTATGAGGTTTCACAATGATTCCTCATACAGGAAATGCAAAATTTGCCTTTGAACTGGCAGAAATTTGGTCAAACTGCAAGAAAAATTTAAAGATATATAGAAGTTTGAGGATCTAAATTAAAGGATTATAAAAGCAACTCACGTTAGCATTTTCCCAGTTGTACAGCTGTTTCTTATTTTAAAATGCTGAGAGGAACTCATAAAATCTAAGTAAAATTTCTTGTAAATACTGAAATATTGTCTCTGGAGTTGTCCTTATGCATTTTCCTATGCTGAATTAACCAACAAGAGTAACCTGTAACAACTCTAACATAATTAAAAAATCAGATAAATCTCTTTAGAAGAGTAGGGAATATTTATATTGATGGCTTGGGTTTTCTCTCTTATTATTTCTCTCTTTTTTATTTTTTCCTAAGATCTATACCTAATTTTGCTTTAAAAAATTGTCTTCATTAAGTTTAGTAATAGTTTCAGGAGATTCTATGTATTTTTATTCTTTCATCTTGGACCTATTTCTTTCCTTTCAACAATAAAACTTTAACTAAATATAGAAAAGTCTACAGATTTGAATAAACTAAGATTACTTGCAGTGTCTTTAGGAAAAAATACGGTCTATTGAAGAAAAACTGAATTAACAAAATTGAAAATCTTTAAGGAATAAAAATCCTCTGAAAATGAAATAAAACTGTGTTAACTTTATAGAGACATCAAACTTTTAAGTATTTATATTATTTTACAAAGGAAACAAGAAAAATATCAAACTCACTTTCATTTCCCTTTTCCCAACTCACCCTCCCCCCCCAAAAAAAATAAATTAATTTTGAGATCATGTTAAGAGCTGGGCCAATTAGTAATCAACAGTCTGTATTAGATTTGGGTGATAGCAAAAGAGTAGTTCTGTGGAGAAACATTTTTAAATATGAAAATTACCATCACTGACAGGTTACTCTAAGCACCATTACAGTCCAAATCTTAATTTTTGATATTTATTATAAGATGC